GCCTACTGCATTACCTTCTAAAAATGAGATTTATTGAATAAAAAGTAGTATACTTACAAAAGAATAAAATCAAACGCACATCTGAAAAAAGACAGCATGGTCCAATCTCCCTAGGTGGTGGCTGTTGAGGGACTGTAGGCCTCCAAATGGTTGACGCGTTTCGAGGCAGAACCACTTCCTCAGAGCCAACTGCATGTACCTTAACATCTTAGACCAGGGTAGGCCATGGTCAATTTTGTCTATGACAGTAGTGCTTCCAGCCGCCACTGGAAAAGATATCACGTGCCTGAGTGGGTGGGAGTATTGTAGGTTGCTGACCCCTATACTAGAGATTTTACATGGGTTGCCTGAATTCTTTCCAGGGCCATGCCCAAGTGACCCTATTGTATGTTATAAAAGGGGTTAAATGTTTGCAGGCAGAAAAACCTTTGTAGTCCAAATACATACTAAAACCTGTTTGGTATTTTGGAGAGTAGTTTAAGAGAGTCAGTTAATATGTCTCTCAAAATCAAATTCAAACCCAATGTGATTCTGCGCTTAGATAAGATGATAAAACAAAAACAAAAGCAGCTAGCACAACTATAAGATGCTAAACCCCAATAAACATGATATAAAAAGTGCAGCGCTACACCATATTCAAAATAGAGACAGTCCACCATAATAAAATGAATGTCCACTTCAAGAAATGTCCATAATAATGGATGTGCTTCAAACAATAATAGAAGAGAATGACCCGCTTATCCAGCAGGACTGCAGAGAGAGTGACACTCTAGATCAGTGGTTCTCAACCTTCCTAATGCCGCAACCCTTTAATACAGTTCCTCATGTTGTGGTGACCCCCAACCATAAAATTATTTACCCAGTAATTATAATTCATGAGTGTCGTTTTACCTCCAATACTGCTGCTTTCAACACAGTAGCTGCTTTCAACACAGTAGCTGCTTTCTACACAGCAGCTGCTTTCTACACAGTAGCTGCTCTTTACACATTGGAAATATGTGTTTTCCCGATGGTCTTAGGCGACCCCTGTGATCTATGTGATCAGCTTAAAATACCAGTAGCATCTGGTGAGTGCATATCCATAAGAGGTGGTGGATTCCCACACTGGATTATGAGCACCATTTTGAACATCTCACACTGCCATTGCTGTACCTTGGAGTACCACAGATTCCTTCACTGAATGATGAGCACTATTTTACCAGTCACCTTGGTATTGCTGTGATTTGTAGTACCGCGGACATTTTTTCGTACTCTGAAATCTGAATGGTTATATGTGTAATACATTAATACTTTAAGAAAGAAAAAAAAAAATGTCACCAGCACACCGAGGATCACCAATATGGGTCCAAAGGTTTTAATAAACCATCACAAAGTTACAGCAAGGCAACGTTTCGGAGTCTCGCAGGACCCCTTCATCAGGCATGTCACAACGTTGCCTTGCTGTAACTATGTGATGGTTTATTAAAACCTTTGGACCCATATTGGTGATCCTCGGTGTGCTGGTGACATTTTTTTCTTGCTGATTTTGTTCGGTTCCAGCCGACGGTCACTGCAGCACCCACATATACACACAGACATTTTTAACGCAGGAACGTGGCGTTTGGATCATACACTTGCATACATTAATACTTTGTCACATGGTTCATTGTAATTAGGTGTTCACATTTTTCACCATAACACTTTATGACGATATTTAATGTTTAGCACTGCACTTCTATTTGTATCAGTTCTTGTGGGTTTTGTTGCCTTTGCCCTTCTGTGCTAGCAGCTCTTAATACTCAGCGCTCGCCACATATTCTGTATTTTTTTTTAATATGGTGTCTAGCGCTGCACTTTATATATTACAGTTAATATGTCTATAATCAATAGAGATGGGACTTTCAGGATGCATAGTTAATATGTCTGTCACCCAGGGGCGGACTGACAACTCATGGGGCCCCCGGGCAATAGGGGATCATTGGGCCCCTCTGTCCTTGCCCAAACTCAAAAAAGCCTATGAAAAAGGTACCAGGGGCATCTCATGGGGCCCCCTACTAACCCCGCGCCCTCGGGCAGTGCCCAAGTTTCCAAATGGTTAGTCCGCCCCTGCTGTCACCTCATCTGTTTGCAATGGAAATCCAGATTTCTAAAAGCAGCAAAGCATTCTCCTTCTTCTTGACTACACTGATGGATATTATTGTCTTGCTAAAAGGCATCAATACAACAACTTTTAGGTGGTTGCAGGAGACTAGGAGAGAGGTGTTAACCGGATGATAAATGGAACCCAGATTATTTCATTAAAAAAAAAATCCTTGCCTCATGTCCACCAAAGACACTGCCTTAGTTTACAGGCTCCTTTTTTCTTGCTCCTGTAAAATCCAAAGTGATATCTGGCATTCACTCATTTCCTATGAGGAAATTAGTTAGTTAAAGGACATCTATAGTCAGAGCATACATATTTATTTTATAACATCAACCATATAATAACAATTTAGCAATTGTCTGGAGGAAAAAAAATGTAATCTCCAAACATGGAAAGGTTTCTTCACAGTGAGAGCTGTGAGAATGTGGAATAGACTCCCTTAAGAGTTGGTTGTGGCCAGCTCAGTGGATTGCTTCAAAAAAGTCCTGGATTATTTCTTGGATACACAGAATATAACTGGATATAACATTTACAGGTAAAGTTGATCCAGGGAATATCAGATTGCCTCTCGGGGGTCAGGAAGGAATTTTTTCCCCTGCAGGCGCAAATTGGATCATGCTTTGTTGGGTTTTTTTGCCTTCCTCTGGATCAACTGTGGGTGTAGGATTATAACTTTTTTTTTCCTATGGTTGAACTGGATGGACTTTTGTCTTTTTTCAGCCACACTAACTATGTAACTATGTAACTATATAGCAATAAAAACAATAGTTGTTTTTCTCAATCCAATGTAAGATCCTATATAAATCTCCTTTCATGTTGTGAGTTCTGCCTGTCTGCTGGCTGTCTCTTTCCGCAATTTCCTGGACATGCTTTGCAGTGTCTCCACCATTTCTAAGGATTACATGTCCCATGGTACCTGGGACCTGGTACCATGTCACAAAATCTAAGGAAATCAGTGTTTGGGGATCTTCACAAAGTAGATTTACAAACTTCAAGATTATTCAGATTAAAAAGAGTAGGCTAGAAATAATTGGAATTCAGTGACAAAATGAATAAAATGATTTTACATTTTGAACATAGATATGCTTTAAATAGGATGAATTAATGAAGTCCAACAAACTATCAAAACACAATATAGAAAGAAATGCTACAGTGAGCGCTCCAAACTGTCAGCAGCTGAACATTAAAGGAAAATGCACATAAAGTCCCAATATAAATACAGATATAAAAATGCAGCGCTGTATAGTATTTACAAGTGTATATGACAGTAGTAAACTGAAAATAGAAAATCACACACGAGATATAGTCCTGTATTGGTGCTTGTTGTTTTTTCCAGTGCAAATGATAGAAATGCGCACTAACCAGAAGCGTATAGGTAATACGCAGATATATAATTATCCTGAAGATTCCCCTCTCTTTCTGGTCAGAATGTAGATTAGTAACTGGAAAATGTAAGGATGAAGCGCCCTCGTGTGGTGAAGATGAGATCCAGCAGGCCAGAAGTGTCCTTGCAGACATGAATGAAATGTTCCCCCTCTCTGGAACTGGTATAAGGATCACACCGGGGCTGTAAAGGTTGAAAGACTCCTGTGTCCACTCAGCTCCATAGCCAGGACACCTCCCATGTACTCTCTTTTTTGAGGGCTGCCCCTTTCTTGGATTAAGAAAGGGTAGCCCTCAAAAAGAGAGTACCTGGGAGGTGTCCTGGCTATGGAGCTGAGTGTGATCCTTATACCAGTTCCATTCATCTCTGCAAGGACACTTCTGGCCTGCTGGATCTCATCTTCACCACACGAGGGCGCTTCATCCTTGCATTTTCCAGTTCCTAATCTACATTCTGACCAGAAAGAGAGGGGAATCTTCAGGATAATTATATATCTGGGTATTACCTATACGCTTCTGGTTAGTGTGCATTTCTATCATTTGCACTGAAAAAACAACAAGCACCAATACAGGACTATATCTCTTGTGTGATTTTCTATTTTCAGTTTACTACTGTCATATACACTTGTAAATACTATACAGCGCTGCATTTTTATATCTGTATCAAAACACAATAGCTTAGGGGCTTCCAAGGACATACATGACATCATGGAAAGTGGTTGGATGGTAAAGTGGACATGAATAGGTCTATAAATAATGGCAAATGGGTGACATCCTTTTGAGTTTGGCCATCTCCTCAGATGTGTTTCTTTTTTGTGTACACATTACAGTTTACATTTCAAACTGGGCATGATCAGCTTTACTGCCCTTACAGCATCAAAAACATTGGGCAGCCTATTCACAGCATTGAATTTACCACGTGTCTAGTCTGCATAGATCTGGCTGCACAAAATAAGTCCTTCCAAGCAGTGAATTATAACATCTGTTTAGATTTTCTTGCAATGAACTTAGTTTTACAGTATCTTGCCATATCTTCCACCACACAAAGTCTCACTATAGAGTAGCAAGCTCTAGCTTGCCAAAGATTTGCAAAATATATGAGTGAGGCCATCGTGAAAGTAGCTCTCTCCTATTTTGAGAACAATTACAGCATTGCCGTAACAGCCCTTGAGCTTTCTAATATCTCAGGTACACACAGCACACCTTTCCTAGCCAGACTGGATTTCCCATTGCAATTCTCATGGTGGATACAAACCTGAGTGTCTGTTTAACTAATAATATAAAATATTAATGTGCTCCAAAGAACAGCATGCAGGCAGGGGCGGACTGACAACTCATGGGACGCCCGGGCAATAGGGGATCATGGGGCCCCTGTGTCCTTGGCCAAACTCAAAAAAGCCTATGGAAAAGGTACCAGGGGCATCTCATGGGGCCCCCTACTGACCCCGGGCCCTCGGGCAGTGCCCGAGTTTCCAAATGGTCAGTCCGCCCCTGCATGCAGGTCAGACTGGGAGAGCACAACATTGCAGTTAATGAGGGCACCAGGCAGTTCCTCCACTTCGCCAAGGTTAACAGACATGCCGGCTATGCATAACTCCAGAACAGGGGCGGAATGACAACTCATGGGGCCCCCTGGCAATAGGGGGTCATGGGGCCCCTGTGTCCATGGCCAAACTCAAAAAAGCCTATGAAAAAGGTACCAGGGGCATCTCATGGGGCCCCCTTCTAACCCCGGGCCCTCGGGCAGTGCCCGAGTTTCCAAATGGTCAGTCCGCCCCTGCTCCAGAATCATTGTCAATGATATCCTGTTGATTAGGCTGGCCTCCCCTGCCACCCTCGTCTTCTACGTCAAGACTGTGTCTCTGCCCACTGGTTGTGCTTCCATCGGAACCACCTGCTTGATCTCCAGATGGGGCAACACTCTGAGCAGTGGAAGTAAGTAGAAAGAAAACAGCATTGAAGCATAGTATCATCTTGCAGGTAATATTGAAATACATGTCAATATTAAGATTACAGTTTTGTTTGGGGTCTCTTTAACCTCCCTAGCGGTATGAATATGTCAATATTTCTGTGTTCAAAACGGTACTTTTTCTGCATGGAAATATGTCGTTTTTTATTGTAGGCCTGTAATTCTTAGGAATAACTCACTGAAATTTGTCCAAAAAGAGTCTAGTAAACATCCCGGGGATGATAAAATTTGAAACACGAAATCATAAATTATAATATAATAAATAATCATAAAAAATAATAATATAATAATAATAAATGTAATTCAATAATACAATCAAACCAAAAACACTGAAATGTGAAATATAGCGCCAAGTTCGCACATCACTGAGCAAAGTCGCAAAATCGTTTTCAGTGTCTGATGAGGAATTTCCCCCGCGAATCATTATCACTCAATTCTGCAAGTGGTTCTGATTTACTATCGCTGTTCTCTAGCCGGTCTAAAACCGCTTTTGACCTAAAGGGACGCTTTTTGGACGCCATGGACGTTTCTCAGTTTTCCAGGCAGAAAGAACAGTAAAAATGCAGGCAGAGCGCCGGACAAAGCACTCGGGACAAAATGTATGTGAAATGGTTTGATACAGGAATGGGGAATATTATCAGATTTTAGTGTATTTGAGTGAATGTCGCTTCTTAACATTTTTACATTTCCCGCCGTTCCGTCCCCCGTAAGTCCTGACACTCGACCCGGAAGACAGATACCGGCATCGGCCAGAGGAGATGGCCGGGGACGCTGCAGGGGGGACATCGCGGGAGCGCAGGACAAGGTAACTGCTGGAGGGAATCCTAGAGTAACGCTGCAGTGTATTCCCGAGTGTAGCTCGGGGTTAACGCTTCTGGTACTGAAAGTTTACCCCGAGCTACACTTGGGATACCGCCAGGGAGGTTAAGGTATCCTCCTATGTTCTCAAAAAGCTGCCATTGGCTTTGCTATTAGGGTATAAGGGATAGTTGGTGTAGGTCCTCCCACTTTCCTTAGTTAGTAGACTATTTTTTATAATTACCGTATTTTTCGCTCCATAAGACGCACTTTTTTCCCCCCAAAAAAAGGGGGGAAAATGTCAGGGCGTCTTATGGAGCGAATATGGAGCGGCCGGTCCGGTATTTCCAGCGCTGCCGTGTCAGAATACTGGGCCGGCCGCTCAGCTCTGCAGCGGGACCTTATGGAGATGACTGCTGACCTTTGGGGAGGTGGGGAGCGGGTACCTGAATTTGACAGGTACCCGCTCTTACTTCCGCAGAGTTCCTCTATCCAGCGGCGCGCTGTCTTCCGGCTTCTGTAGTGTGGGCGCTCGGCTTGACAGCCGGGTGCCAAGTGCGCATGCGCAAGAAGCGGTGCTTTTTTGTGAATGGTAAGGCGGTACCTGGGACACATGACAGATCCCAGAAGCCGCCGGACCAATCACAAAGCACAAGTGCTTCTCGCTCATGCGCACTGGGCATCCGGCTGTCCGCTGAGCGCCCACACTACAGAAGCCGGGAAGACAGCGCGCGGCTGGATAGAGGAACAGGTAAGATCAAAGAACAACTCCGCAGAAGTAAGAGCGGGTACCTGTCAATTTCAGGTACCCGCTCACCCCCCTCCTCAAAGGTCAGCAGTCATCTCCTGTGCTGTCCGCAGTCTCTGGTCATCCCTGTGCTGTCTGCAGTCTCTGGTCATCCCTGTGTTGTCCGCAGTCTCCGGTTATCCCTGTGCTGTCCGCAGTCTCTGGTCATCCCTGTGCTGTCCGCAGTCTCTGGTCATCCCTGTGCTGTCCGCAGTCTCTGGTCATCCCTGTGCTGTCCGCAGTCTCTGGTCATCTCCTGTACTGTCTGCAGTCTCTGGTCATCCCTGTACTGTCCGCAGTCTCTGGTCATTTCCTGTACTGTGTCCGCAGTCTCTGGTCATCCCCTGTACTGTGTCCGCAGTCTCTGGTCATCTCCTGTACTGTGTCCGCAGTCTCTGGTCATCTCCTGTACTATGTCTGCAGTCTCTGGTCATCTCCTGTACTGTGTCCGCAGTCTCTGGTCATCTCCTGTACTGTGTCCGCAGTCTCTGGTCATCTCCTGTACTGTGTCCGCAGTCTCTGGTCATCTCCTGTACTGTGTCCGCAGTCTCTGGTCATCTCCTGTACTGTGTCCGCAGTCTCTGGTCATCTCCTGTACTGTGTCCGCAGTCTCTGGTCATCTCCTGTACTGTGTCCGCAGTCTCTGGTCATCTCCTGTACTATGTCTGCAGTCTCTGGTCATCTCCTGTACTATGTCCGCAGTCTCTGGTCATCCCTGTGCTGTCCCGCTGTCCGCAGTCTCTGGTCATCTCTTCTACTATGTCCGCAGTCTCTGGTCATCTCCTGTACTGTGTCTGCAGTCTCTGGTCATCTCCTGTACTGTGTCTGCAGTCTCTGGTCATCTCCTGTACTATGTCTGCAGTCTCTGGTCATCTCCTGTACTATGTCCGCAGTCTCTGGTCATCCCTGTGCTGTCCGCAGTCTCTGGTCATCTCTTCTACTATGTCCGCAGTCTCTGGTCATCTCCTGTACTGTGTCCGCAGTCTCTGGTCATCTCCTGTGCTGTCCGCACTGGTATCTCTTCTACTATGCAGTCTCTGGTCATCTCCTGTACTGTGTCTGCAGTCCATTAGTTCAGAATTTTTTTTTCCTGTTTTCTGCCTCTAAAACCTAGGTGCGTCTTATGGAGCAAAAAATACGGTAGATAATTTTGGAAGTACAGTATAATAATAATTGTAAAACTGGTTTTAAGGATTCTACAATCTTGCCAGATACAATAATTGTTTTGTAGAAGATGAAACAGGAAGGCGCTTCTAAGTGCTGTATTCCAAGGTCAACTTTTAATAAAAGTGGTTAAAAACACTTACAATGTGGTAGTATGAACAGGCTCTAGTGTAATCCATCAATAGCAGGGCTCTGTCCTCTAAGAGATGGCGCCACTGTGCCAGCCAGCAGCTGCAGGGGGAGCTTGAGAAGAGGTGTTAAAGATGGCCGCAGCTCAATCCAGACCGCTTGAGCGCATGTTGGAATGCACGCTGTCCATGGACCGGAAGTGACGTGAGCATGGAGTGGTGACGCGTTTTTGGAGCTTCAAGCATCTTGCAGTGTGGCCTCTCCATTCTTCCTCCATACTCGGGGTCCTTGGGCCTCTCCATTCTTCCTCCATACTCGGGGTCCTTGGGCCTCTCCATTCTTCCTCCATACTCGGGGTCCTTGTGCCTCTCCATTCTTCCTCCATACTCGGGGTCCTTGTGCCTCTCCATTCTTCCTCCATACTCGGGGTCCTTGTGCCTCTCCATTCTTCCTCCATACTGTGGGTCCTTGGGCCTCTCCCTCTCCATTCTTCTCTCCATACTGTGGGTCCTTGGGCCTCTCCATTCTTCCTCCATACTCAAGGTCCTTGGTTTCCAAATGAGATGCAAAAGTTGCTCTCATCAGAAGAGGACTTTGGACCACTGAGCAACAGACCAGGTCTGTTTTTCTTTAGCCCAGGTAAGACGATTCTGACGTTGTTTGTTTGTTCAGGAGCGGCTTGACAAGAGGAATACGACATTTGAAGACCATGTCCAGGATCCGTCTGTGTGTGGTGGCTCTTGAGGCACTGACTCCATCCTCAGTCCACTCCTTGTGAAAGTCCCCAACACTTTTGAATGGCCTTTTCCTGACAATCCTCTCTAGGCTGCGGTCATCCCTGCTGCTTGTGCACCTTTTTCTTCCACACTTTTCCCTTCCACATAACTTTCTATTAATGTGCTTTGATACAGCACTTTGGGAACATCCAACTTCTTTTGCAATTCCCTGTTGAGGCTTTCCCTCCTTATGGAGGGTGTCAATGATGGTTTTCTGCACAACTGTCAGGTCAGCAGTCTTTCCCATGATTGTGATTCCTACTGAACCAGACTGAGAGACCATTTAAAGGCTCAGGACACCCTTTGCAGGTGTTATGGCTTAATTAGCTGATTAGAGTGGGACACTTTGAGCCTAGAATATTCCACCTTTTCACAATATTCTCATTTTCTGAGATTGTGGATTTGGGGTTTTCATGAGCTGTAAGCCATAATCATCACAATGATGACAAATCACGGCTTGAACTATCTTGCTTTGCATGTAATGGGTCTATCTCATATATTAGTTTCACCTTTTAAGTTGCTGCACTGAAATAAATGAACTTTTGCACAATATTCTAATTTTTTTTCGAGTTTCACCTGTATATAAAATTTCTAAATTACTGCATCTCCAATAGAATGTACATAGAAGTTCTTAAACGTTTTAAGATTACCTGCAATTGTTAATGACCTTCTAGTGATTTATAGAATTCCACTAGTGTTAGTTCACAGCACATTACATACAGAACTTTGAACCATTCATATTAGAAATAATTTAGTAAATGTCATTTTTTTAAATTTTATTTGTAGCCAACATGCCTATCCTCCTGCAGTGTCTGAATGAATCCATCCTGACCAACACCCAGCCTAGTCAGATCATCTCCAACATGATCCGTGTTGGCTACCTGGAGGGTGGCATGGATTCCTGCCAGGAATACCATTTTTTTAATTTTACCATTAGAACAAAACTTTATTACTGAATATATTTGTTAATGAAAATAAACCTATTGATGCTAATCTGCTAAGGGCAGATGGATTCCAGGAGGTACAGTAAATTCTACATGAATTATCTGCCCTTAGTCAAGATGGCTACAGCTAGAAATGCTAGGGGTTTTTTTTCAAAATATTTTCTTAACAAAATAAAGCCTGGAGATATGGATGGATGGATGGATGAGTATTAAAAATGAATTAACTAGCGTTTTCAGTTTGTGGTGCTCAGATACAGTTTCATTCTGATTTAAAGTGGTTGTAAAGACTGAAGGTTTTTCATCTTCATGCATTCTATGCATGAACGTAAAAAACCTTCTCTGTGCAGGATCCCCCCCAGTCCCCCTAATACTCACCTAAGCCCTCTCTCGATCCAGCGATGTGCACTGGAGTCTCGGGATTCCCTCTCCTCATTGGCTGAGACAGAAGTGGGAGCCGTTGGCTCCCACTGCTGGCAGTCATAGCCAGTGGCTCAATGAGCAGGGGGGGCGGGGCCGAAACACCGCTCTGTGTGTGAATGGATACACATAGCACCGGGTGCACCCACAGCTGTTTGCTGTGGGGGCACCCAACAGGAGGGAGGGGCCAGGAGCGCTGACGGGGACCCAAGAAGAGGAGGATCCTGGCTCTTCTGTGCAAAAGCACTTTACACAGCAGGTAAGTATAGATATGATTGTTGTTTAACCTCCCTGGCGGTATTCCCGAGTGTAGCTCGGGGTAAAGTTTCAGTACCAAAAGCGGTAACTCCGAGCTACACTCGGGCTTACCATGCGGTGCTGCATAGGGAGTCCCTGCAGAGCTTACCTTGTCCTTCGCTCCTGCGATGTGTCCCCTGCAGCGTCCCCGGCCATCTCCTCCGGCCGATGCCGGCATCCGGCTTCTGTGTTCCGGTCCCTGTGACGTCGGGACGCGGCAAATTTGAAATTTTTTTAAAAATGTCATTTTTTGAAAAATGATTATTACATAGTAAAACATTGCTGTTTCAAAACATTTCACATACATTTTGTCCCTACTGCTTTGTCCGGCGCCCTGCCTGCATTTTTACTGTTCTTTCTGCCTGGAAACTGAGAAACGTCCATGACGTCCAAAAAGCATCCCTTTAGGTCAAAAGCGGTTTTAGACCGGCTAGAGAACAGCGATAGTAAATCAGAACCACTTGCAGAATTGAGTGATAATGATTCGTGGGGGAAATTCCTCATCAGACACTGAAAACGATTCTGCGACTGAGCTCAGCGATGTGCGAACTTGGCGCTATATTTCACATTTCAGTGTTTTTGGTTTGATTATATTATTGAATTAAATTTATTATTATTATATTATTATTTTTTATGATTATTTATTAAATTATAATTTATGATTTCGTGTTTCATGTTTATCATACTGGATGTTTACTAGACTCTTGTTCGGACAGATTTCAGTGAGTTATTCCTAAAAATTACAGGCCTACAATAAAAAAAATACATATTTCCATGCAAAATAATGGTACCCGCTTTCAGCACCAAAAATCTGAAATAATCATACCGCCGAGGAGGTTAAGAAAAATAAAGCCTTTAGAATCATTTTAATAATGTTGTTTTTTTTTTTTTATGAATTAGGGCTTTAGCAATTAACTGTTGACTATCAACCTTGTTCATTTATTGCACATGTATTGCATGACCAAGCAAAAAAGAAGCATCTCCCAAGTAAGATTTACCTGTTGCTGTGCCTTACACCAGTAGTTTCTCAGCCACTGCCTGATCATGGCCTCCCTCCTCCTGGCCCACTAACCACCTGCAAATCCCTTAACCTCCCACAGTACCTTCCAGCTCCCATAGTAGTCCACCATGCCCCTCAAACACCCACAGCACCTAGAGCCCCCTGCAATGCTTGTGCCTCTAGACAGTGGTTCTCAACCTTCCTAATGCCGCAACCCTTTAATACAGTTCCTCATGTTGTGGTGACCCCCAACCATAAAATTATTTTTGTTGCTACTTCATAACTGTAATTTTGCAGTGGGAGGAGTAGTGCCACATCATTGGTGTCAGTGAGAGGAGTAGTGCCACACCACTGATGTCAGTGGGAGGAATCAGTGGGAGGAATAGTGTCCAATCATTGGTATCAGTGGGAGGAATAGTGCCCCATCATTGGTATCAGTGGGGGAATAGTGCCCCCATCATTGGTGTCAGTGGGAGGAATAGTGCCCCATCATTGGTGTCAGTGGGAGGAATAGTGCCCCCATCATTGGTGTCAGTGGGAGGAATAGTGCCCCATCATTGGTATCAGTGGGAGGAATAGTGCCCCATCATTGGTGTCAGTGGGGGAGGAATAGTGCCCCATCATTGGTGTCAGTGGGAGGAATAGTGCCCCATCATTGGTGGTGTTCAGTGGGAGGAATAGTGCCCCATCATTGGTATCAGTGGGAGAATAGTGCCCCATCAATGGTATCAGTGGGAGGAATAGTGCCCCAATCATTGGTGTCAGTGGAGGAATAGTGCCCCATCATTGGTGTCAGTGGGAGGAATAGTGCCCCATCATTGGGTTGTCAGTGGGAGGAATAGTGCCCTCATTGGTGTCAGTGGGAGGAATAGTGCCCCATCATTGGTGTCAGTGGGAGGAATAGTGCCCACATCATTGGTGTCAGTGGGAGGAATAGTGCCCATCATTGGTGTCAGTGGGGGAGGAATAGTGCCCCATCAATTGGTATCAGTGGGAGGAATAGTGCCCATCATTGGTGTCAGTGGGAGGAATAGTGCCCCATCATTGGTGTCAGTGGGAGGAATAGTGCCCCATCATTGGTATCAGTGGGAGGAATAGTGCCCCATCATTGGTATCAGTGGGAGGAATAGTGCCCCATCCATTGGTGTCAGTGGGAGGAATAGTGCCCCATCATTGGTGTCAGTGGGAGGAATAGTGCCCCATCATTGGTGTCAGTTGTGGGAGGAATAGTGCCCCATCATTGGTGTCAGTGGGAGGAATAGTGCCCCATCATTGGTGTCAGTGGGAGGAATAGTGCCCCATCATGGTGTCAGTGTGGGAGGAATAGTGCCCCATCATTGGTATCAGTGGGAGGAATAGTGCCCCATCATTGGTGTCAGTGGGAGGAATAGTGCCCCATCATTGGTGTCAGTGGGAGGAATAGTGCCCAATCATTCGTGTCACGTGTGTGGAGGAATAGTGCCCCATCATTGGTGTCAGTGGGAGGAATAGTGCCCCATCATTGGTGAATAGTATGCCCCATCAGTGGGAGGAATAGTGCCCCATCATTGGTGTCAGTGGGAGGAAATAGTGCCCCATCATTGGTGTCAGTGGGAGGAATAGTGCCCCATCATTGGTGTCAGTGGGAGGAATAGTGCCCCATCATTGGTGTCAGTGGGAGGAATAGTGCCCCATCATTGGTGTCAGTGGGGAGGAATAGTGCCCCATCATTTGGTGTCAGTGGGAGGTATAGTGCCCCATCCATTGGTGTCAGTGGAGGAATAGTGTCCCCCATCATTGGTGTCAGTGGGAGGAATAGTGCCCCATCATTGGTGGTCAGTGGGAGGAATAGTGTGCCCACATCATTGTGTCAGAGGGAGGAATAGTGGCCCCATCATTGGTGTCAGTGAGAGGAAATAGTGCCACACCACTGATAGTCAGTGGAGGAATAGTGCCCCATCATTGGTGTCAGTGGGAGGAATAGTGCCCCATCATTGGTGTCAGTGGAGGAATAGTGCACCCCACTCATTGGTGTCAGTGGAGGAATAGTGTCCCATCATTGGTATCAGTGGGGAGGAATAGTGCCCCATCATTGGTGTCAGTGGGAGGAATAGTGCCCCATCATTGGTGTCAGTGGGAAGGAATAGTGTCAATCATTGGTATCAGTGGGAGGAATAGTGCCCCATCATTGGTGTCAGTGGGAGGAATAGTGCCCCATCATTTGGTGTCAGTGGGAGGAATAGTGCCCCATCATTGGTGTCAGTGGGAGGAATAGTGCCCCATCCATTGGTATGTCAGTGTGGGCAGGAATAGTGCCCCATCATTGTGTCAGTGGGAGGAATAGTGCCCCATCATTGGTGTCAGTGGGAGGAATAGTGCCCCATCATTGGTGTCAGTGGGAGGAATAGTGCCCCATCATTGGTGTCAGTGTGGGAGGAATAGTGCCCCATCATTGTGTGAATAGTGCCCTCATCATTGTGGAGGAGGAATAGTGTCCAATCCATTGGTATTCAGTCAGTGGGAGGAATAGTGCCCCATCATTGGTGTCAGTGGGAGGAATAGTGCCCCATCATTGGTGTCAGTGGGAGGAATAGTGCCCCCATTGGTTATCATTGAATAGTGTCCCATCATTGGTGTCAGTGGGAGGAATAGTGCCCCATCATTGGTATCAGTGGGAGGAATAGTGCCCCATCATTGGTATCAGTGGGAGGAATAGTGCCCCATTATTGGTATCAGTGGGAGGAATAGTGCCCCCATCATTGGTATCAGTGGGAGGAATAGTGCCCCATCATTGGTGTCAGGGAGGAAATAGTGCCCCATCATTGGTGTCAGAGTGGGAGGAATAGTGCCCCATCATTGGTGTCAGTGGGAGGAATAGTGCCCCATCATTGGTGTCAGTGGGAAGGAACAGTGCCCCATCATTGTGTCAGTGGGAGGAATAGTGCCCCATCATTGGTATCAGTGGGAGGAATAGTGCCCCATCATTGGTGTCAGTGGGAGGAATAGTGCCCCATCATTGGTGTCATGTGGAGAATAGTGCCCCCATCATTGGTGTCAGTGGGAGGAATAGTGCCCCATCATTGGTATCAGTGGGAGGAATAGTGCCCCATCATTGGTGTCAGTGGGAGGAATTAGTGCCCCATCATTTGGTGTCAGTGGGAGGAATAGTGCCCCATCAATTTTGGTGTCAGTGGGAGGAATAGTGCCCCATCATTGGTGTTCAGTGGGAGGAATAGTGCCCCATCATTGGTATCAGTGGAGGAATAGTGCCCCATCATTGGTGTCAGTGGGAGGAATAGTGCCCTAATCATTGGTATCA